ACTAACGTAATTCTGTATAAACTAATAAACCGCGCCATCTCTGCAGAGCAACGCACTTTGGGTGTAAGACATTGGTTGTTGCTGAAAGTTATTGCTCTTGGGTGGTTTAACCTATGATAAAGGCAGAGAAAAATTGAAACAGTTGTCGAAAAGAGGTAATTGTTCTACAGAGACTCGCTGTGGGGATCATATTAAGGTTCATCAGGAAAAGAAACTGCGTTTTCATCGGTGCGCGATAAACTAGTCAACAGTTTTCTTTCCGTTTTTCATTTTAGAATTCTGCAGGTTTTGTTTTTTTTAAATCAAACATGAAAAATAAACAAAATATACTGATTTATCACATCAGACGTTTTACCTTTAAGTTATCTTTATATCGGGATAGCTAGATTATAAGTCTATTGCAGAATAAACAAGACTCTTATTTTTTAAGTGAAACGGCAAAATCAATGAAAACGGAAGCAGTTCAGTTTAAATATAGATTAATAACTATGTCTATTGGTCTTCAAGGATCATAATTTTCGTAAATGTACGCGTTGTTGTCTTATTCTATTACAGGAACATTTTTCCCCAGCTTTAAATAGCTTTGTTGCATCTTTAGATGGGGCAAACACTTGTTTTATTATTTTTGATCACCAAATCAAGTTAAACATACTTCAGACTTGGTCAATTAATACTTTATTTCCATCGTAAACGTGTTTGAGATATTAATAATATAGCAATTTCGGGGTTAAATGAGTCTGTACTAAATGTTTTGTCTACTATTTTTAAATGTTTGATACCATTATGTATTGTTATTGTACGTAAAATCGAAAGTACTTTATTTTTGCTAATTACTCGTTACATTTTCCTTTGAAAATGTTTTAAAACATAGAATTTAAAAATCATACAATAAGCTGTTAGCAGAAATTTAGATGCAAGTTATACATTTTAATATGTATATTGCTTAACTTGTGTGTATTTAATCTCATTGATTTGTGTGCATTTAATGTCTATGATTTGTGTGCATTTAGAACACCAGAAATCGTGCTATGCTCTATTGCTCTATCTATTTCATTAGGTCAGCAAAATACTCCAAATTACATTCAATTATATTCCAGTACATCTTAAATAACTTTGGGAGGTTTTAGTCTGTTGAGCTATTGAAGCATAAGTCAAGAATATATTTTAGTAAAAGGATTATTAAAATCAAACAGCCAAACAATGGACAATATCGTGTGCACTGTATAAGAAACTTTTATTTTATTCTGGAGGTTTGTTCAAGTTATACATATTTACCCGTATGTAGAGACAGACTAAAATGAATTTGATAATAGAGAAATATGTTACCGCTTGTCGTTATCCTCGAACTACTTAAATTATTGGAGGAGCTGCGTTAATAAAATGCAGTGCTCATAAAATCCCATATACCAGATTAAGTTCAAAAGTCATTGAACTTGAACTATTTTAGGCACAGGATTAATATCGTATATCGTATAATTCATGTTTTAATCCACTTTCTATTGGCAGTTGACAATGAGACAATTATTGTTAGGCACCTTAGCAGTGTATCAAAATCTAATTGAAGATAACAATGCAGAGATAAATAACCTAGGGACCCAGATACATCATATTGAATCAATCTTGTCATGTGGCATTGTTATTTATTCATATATCGGATGATATTTAACATAGCTCTAAATCAAAACATCATACAAATGTCTGACAGACGCTATACACAAGGGAAAAGGTCTGATGCAATACTTCCATAAATTAATTCATATCGTGTGCTTTCATCATTCATACTTTATCATTTTTATAATTGTTATGTAAGTCCAACAAAGTAACAATATATGATGTTATTTAATGAAATAAAATATGACCACGTTAAATTAAAAAATCGCACTTATCGTATTTGTACGGAATTCAGTTAGTCGGATTAATTTTTAATTTTGCTTTATCATTATCGTTTGGGTATCGAATTCCTTATATTTGCCAAAAAACAATAACGTCAATAATGTTAGAATGGTTTTTTCGGAAGCGTGTTTTCCCTATGCTGATTTTATTCACAGAGCACCTTTATGAAGTTACAGCAGCATTTTATTTACGAAATTGCCTTGTCAATTCTTTACTTTACGTTATCATATTGTCATATTGGAAAAGACAAATCTTATGAATAAACAACCAACGAATACTAAGTTTTATATAAAAAAAAAGTACGATTGAATGAATGAAAAAAAAAAACAACATCGGTATATAAAATATGATACATATATGAATGTAAAACGGTTTATAAGTTATTAGTATTTAGTTTTACATTAAGAATTATGCAAAGAAAAGGCCATTTTTTATCTGGTAGAATAAAACAAGAAGTCTTTATTCAAACAGCAGACACAAAAGCTTTTGTTTACATTAATATTCATGTTTGTTTTATAAATGTATACTTTTGTTTATACTTTCCTAGATTTATATTCAATTAAACGAATTTTAGAGCTAATAAACATGTTTTAAATGTGTTTGTATTCTATGAATTGATTTACAAGAAAGCCAACAGTGTGGTCGTTTGTTTCTTTATATATTGAAGTGTTTACATATATGTCAGAAACAATAGCTGACAGAAATGCCGATAAAGAAATAAATTCACAAAAGTTAATTTACTTTAATTGACTAAACTGACATATAAAGAAGAATATTTACCATCTGTTTACTGTATTGCTAATTGATTATTTAGATTTAAATATACTTTACATAGATATGCTCTGAAACATAATGAAAATATTACGATATGATAAAAGTTTCAAAGTATTAAATTGTTCTTAATCTCTTTGACATGTAACGTAGTTTTATCGTCGTTCGACTAGGTTTAACTTTTCATACTTTATCTTTTGTTTACATTTACAATGTAATTTAACACTTTTTCGACAGCGACGTCGGGATTTAGCCATTCATAAGGTTAAAGTAATTCGATAAGCTCATTTGCAATGTGATACATAAACGTAATGACTTACACAACATAAACACATTGGAATGTATTATTTCGTTTTTTATTGATCATTACTATTGCAAGGGACTTTATTGGTATATGTTTTCTATTAATTGGAACATTTCACATACTTTTTTATATTCGCGAGGAACCTGAATTTTGTAGGGTTCTAACAGAGTATATTATACAATCATAAAGGTAAGCACTTTAGATATTCTGTAATTTGAATATAAGATGTTTTTATCATATGCCTATATGTTTTCTTTAGATCATTTTAACATTTATCTCACAATACTTTCGGTGCCTATTTAAGGAGTCTTTCAACATAAAATAGATTCACTGTTCATGGCTTGCTATATCTAATAGTTGAAATTCCAATAAATAAAACTTATTTATGTAAATAATTTACCAGCAATAAAAATTATTTAAAAGCTAGTGAAACAACTAAAAAGAATAGCTCGATGAACTGTTGTAATGTAATTTATGCTATTGGTGTAAATAAAATGCATCGTTTATTTATTTTTTCATTATAGCGAGTCAAGATTCAATTTGCTTTTAAGAATAGGCTATTTAGCTACTGCGATGTAAAATGAACGGATTGTTTATAAAATAAACGTATTTTTAAATTTAGTTTAAATATATTTTAGTTAGAAACCGCCAAATTAACGCCATATACACGCATTCGTTTAATCAACCAACGATAGTCTGATGCTTTTTTAAAAATCGAGCTGTATTTTAGTAACACACACAAACCACGCAACCAGTCCTTAATATGGGCTCTGATATAGGCATATAGCAACAGCGCGTAAAGACATGACTTTAAGAGTACGTCCAAAATATGATTATTTTTACTATCAAATCGAGTTTAATACCATGTTCCTCATTGCTATAGTCACAAACATATCATTATATTAAAACAACACTGTAACATCTTGAATGTGAACTTACTTGACCCTTTCTTCTTAATATTGATGTAAATGAATCTAACACACGTGTTGTTAAATAAACTAAAAACTCGAAAATATAAACACAATCGATGCTTCCGCATGACAAATGTGAATACGTTACAACTTGTGGAAATTTACTGATAAAAGACGCGAATTTAAATACGAGAACAGATTAAAGAATCTAATTATTATTGAATTAGTAGATGAAAGGCAGTCGATATTAGACCTACAGTTAAACTCTGTTGTAGAAATCACCTTGTATATTATTCTATTGTAAGACAGCATACAAAGTAATATTCCAATCAATATCAAAGGAAATGCAGAGAAAGAAATATGTATTTAAATGTACCAATACATGTGGTAATATGTTGCCATTTTAGTTGCATTTGGGGTATGTAATGTTAAAGGCTTAAGAAATTTACCGTTTAATCCAAACCTAAAAATAACAAAAAAGTTTTTTTCTTATCATAAGGAAAAATACGACATAAATTGAATCACATTATATCTAGAATATCTAGTACTATCATATTACTTGGTTGTTTTGGTTTTAACGCTGCTACGTGTATTATAATTATAATATTATATTATATACGTTAGTAAGTTGAACTTCAAGTCTTAATACAGGTCAAGTAAAATTAATCCTGAATTAAAGATACAGAAATTAGAGAATTGATGAAGCGTTTAGTTTTTATTGACCAAGTAATCAAAATCATGTAGATTATGGCGAAAATAAATATTTAAACAAATTCACCAGATTCTTTATCGTATTGCTAAAACGGTAACAACAAATTTAATATTGAAGTATACGATACTTAAAATATATTATGTCTTTGCTACTTTCATTCAATTTTTGATGGTCAAGTACTATGTGGACTATGAGCATGCATATATATATATGAAACATTAAGATAGCTTAAGTTAAAGTTTCCGGTAACGTCTTAAGTACATGTTAACAGTCGTAAGCTAGTTTTCATTGTTACTTATTTTATAAAGAAAGGATAATAACTACAGCATTTGTACAGTGAGGGGAGTATAATTATTTGGTATTTTTTATATATGCTATCTTGCATTTCATTTTGAAATTAGACATTAGACATATGCTTATGAAAACTTTGATACGATGCAGGTTTAATATCATAAGATATAATTATTCATCAATATGTTGATTTTGATAAGACTTCAAATACTTATTTTCTTATTTACTTATTTTATTTTACAGAAAAGAGACTTTGATCAATGCGAAATATGTATCTTTTTACGATCATTTGATTTTTAGATTGCAATGAAATGAATACAAAAAAATTAATAGACAGGACTCGTTTTGCTGGTAGCATTTAATTTATATTTTTATATGCCATCAGTATAATTTACAGAAAAATAGAAAATTCATTTCATAAAGATGAAACACAATTGAAAAAAATGACTTAATTGTATAAACTGCATTTCTAATGATTTAAACAACACTTGTTTTTATGAACCTGTTTTTTATCATATTGTTTTAAATGTTGTGTCATGTACTTACAAGCGGTGAAAACAAGATCGTGATCCCTTTAAATTTGGAACAAAACATAAAATAATCGTGTTATGGTGATTTTTCATACATGTAGTGTTGACGCTAAAACCACAAAACAATTAACAACGTTGGTACAACATGTTTACAATTCTTATAAGTATAATTATAGATACATTAATTTACATCCTTTGCCAATTGATACTTCGATAATTAACTTTGCGAATGATAAACAAAGGTGAATGGTAAAGAATAGATGAAGACAAAAAAATGTAGCGAAATGTCATCGGGATTGTTTTCATACGTAAAGTTTTCTTTCCTGTGCGATGAAATGCAGGGAAGAACATATTAACTGAATGTCAAGTATTGGATATTGTTAAACCCATCGCTGTTAGAGTCAGTAGTTTTCAGATAGTGACCGCGTTCAGTATGCAAACGTCCACGGATATTCATAATATGCGGATATTTACATTACGAATAAATGGATTTAAAAAATAAATGGATTAAAAAAAAAATCAACAAATATGTTTAATATCAAAGGATTCGCTATCACGAGTTTTATAAATATAGGTTGAAATATTTTAAAAGCAGTGTCACTTTAGGGATTCTATTTTTCTCTATTTAATTATTTTGTTATTTATTTGAAATATTTGGAATGTATTGTTTTGTAAAATGATGTAAAAAGATTTAATTGTGTTCATGTGTTTATTATAATTATATTAAATACATATTAATATTTATTTATACAAGTCATTTTCCTTTTACGTTAAGTATAAACAATAATGTAACAAATATTATGTTGCTCCTTTTGTTACTTCAGGATGTCAAATAAAAGAATTAAAAGTTCTCAGCAGTGGATCCAATGAGTTACAGGGTTCTGTGTTTTCGCAAAAATTGTTCTAATTTCTTTACAATCAGAAGGAATAGAAAATGTTTGATTACAGGCTTGTTCATAAAAAATAATAACACTAAATGCTATGCATGAGCCTTATTTTATATTCATGAGATGCAACAAGAATGAAGAAATAAATTTCCTCGAATGGCAACAATGACATGTGACGAAGATACAATTGCGCGAATTATGCACGCAAATTATATGGATACCTCGGTGTACTTTTTGATTACCATTTCTGCTGTGGTTGTTTTTATGGGAACAAAAACAATGTTCAGCAAAATTCGCAGAGACATGGCACAATCAACAGTGATAATAATAGGAGCTGGTCCTATAGGTTTGACTTCAGCACTTATAGCTGTTCAGTGTACTCGTGTAAGAAAATTAGTGCTGTATGAGGAACATACAAAATCCAACGTTGAGAAGAGAATGTATCAGATAACCATACAATCCCAATATGTGTTATTTCTAAGGAGTTATGGGGTTGATTTTGACAACTTAGAAGGGTTATGGCAAGATGGATGCTTTTACACACGGGCTGGAATATACCTTGAATATATATTACACATTTTACCACTTTATGCAACTGACATCGATATGAAATTTGGCACAAAAGTAAGTGGAATTATTGCCTTCATTTCATTTCAGGAGTCCAGAAACTCTTTCTAATAGACTCGTACACAACTGCAAACTCTGTATATTAGTATTACCCAGCTAGCGCCGACACAGGACTGACTGCTATGCATTCGTCCCATTTAATTCAGTATTGAACAAATCAATGTGTAATAACCTCATATTGTCGCACCCTATAATGGAATAAGCTATGTCGTCTTTTTATGTGTTTGTGTACATTACACAAACTGTATTAACATTTTTATTTGACATTTTTATTCTAATTTTCTGAACGTTTGTATAATTATTTATGTCTTTATTTCAGTTTTGTCGTGACAGCAGTGACATAGTTGATCAAATATCTGGGCGTAAGTTGGTAATATGTTGCGACGGATCTTCAGGACTTGCATCAACTACTTTAGGACTCAGTGATGAATGTATAATTCATCCAAGTGGAATATTCGGAGCTGTTGCTTCTTTAGAACGTAACAATAAAACACTAGTACCAGCACCTGAAAAACGTGTTCATAATCTTTCCTTCGATATATCGGCGTACAATCCTTCTGCCTTTGAGGACAATGGAGGTTCACCGTTTACTTTGAAGGTTTTTGGAAACACAAAATATAGACATTTAGCCTTAGCAATTAACAAATGTGATTCAAATGTTTTCAGGGTTTTAAGAACAGTATTAGATAAATCGGTAAGAAAGTTTTAAAGTCTGCCGTCTTTTCAACTATGTGTTTTTGCATTTCTGACCCGATGTATTCAACGAAAAAATATCAAAGATATTGTAAATACAAATGCTATGTAGTAATGCTTTCGTTACCCTAATAACAATATTAGATTGAGTGATCCCCTGTCCATTTTAATACTTGTTAAGACCAAATTTGATTATTTAAACGTAATATTTGTTTATTAAAGTCATACATTATTGATAATGGTATATTGTTTTAATTTATTTTCATTTAAAAGCTCATGTAAGTTTAAACATTACAAACATTATAACTTAAACAACGTTTGCATTTGCAGATGATGAGAAATATATTTCTGAAATGTTTCAATACTTACAAACTGTCAGACGAAGCGAGTATAAGTGACTCATATTGCCTCAACAACATGAAGTTTAGTCCAAGATTGTATGAAATTAAACTGTCACAGAAGATCGAAAATGTTGTTTACATAGAAGACTGTGATCTCTTTATCATAACAGAGGGCGATGCTTCAAGATCATGTAACTTTAATACAGGTATATTTATGTGTGTTTTTCAAAATGCGCTAAGATCCAACAGTATTCTGTACCAAAATATAAAAAAATATTATAATTCTTTGTGAGGTGTTAAACCAGACATTTTAATTTGAAAACAAAATGTTTACATAATTATGAATCTATACACATTTAAGTTCTCTTTTAACTATTCAGTTTAAAAAAAATGAGATTATGTTACGGACATATAAACCTATTATTGAAAATTATATAGGAATTTTTACTAACAAATTAAAATAATTTTGAATGTTATTTTAATTCAGTTTGTTCATTACACTTAAAGAACCTTATTTCTAATCTATGCATTATTTCGTTTTAGGATTGGAACTCAACATTGGCTTGCAAGGTTTAACAACGCTAGAACCATTTATAGAGGGCGTTTCTCTCGCTGAAACAGAACATTCTATTATGCAAACCCTTCTTTTCAAAATGGAACATTCTGATAAGATATGTAAAAACCATTTAAAGTATGGTCTGAAGGAATTTATATTTTGATGAAAATATAAACTTAAAGTATATATAAAGTTGTTGCACAGGGTTACCTAAAAGGAAATAAAATTTAATTTACTTATTTTTGTCGTAAAATGTTAAGATTAGTTAGTACATGTTGTTTTAAGCGTTTTATTACACTTTTAATAAAAACATCAGCTTTTTTGGTCGGATGACTTTACATAAATAGACACACACTATCTTTCTCTTTAATTAGAACAATTAAAACTGTTCTGACCAGCTTATGTTTAGGAGTATACATCGTACTTAAAATATTATTTAATTTCATGAAGGAACTACTTTAAAAGATTATATCTGTGTTTCTTTTAATTACTTTACCTCTTATCTAGAAATTCAATTATAGAGGCAATCAGGCGTATGCCTGCAATCTGAATCTGTCAATTTTGCCACCCGTTTGATCTTTGAAATAATTTGAATATCCCTCTTTACTCACGCGCTGAGTGAATTACTGATACTAGTTTTCAAATGAAATGATAATACATCGCTATAAATATGATGTAACGGGGGTAGAGAAGCTAACATGCGCAACAACTTAAAATAGCTTGACTATCGCAAACTGGTTAAAACAACTAAGGTAAATTTCTTTTAAAATTTAAAGTTAAACTATTTCTTATCTTTACTTCTTTAAAATAAAAAAATAAGCTTCGACTTCTTTTTTTTTTCTTTATTTCAACTAAATATGCGGAAATCTGCTGTACATTTGATGGCAGTCACCTTTGGTTCCACCAGCATGTAAGGGTTATGGAAATAGTGGAATTAACAAAAAAAAACAAAAAAACTGTTAAATGCATTCATAATTTTCTGTTTCAAATGACAATCAACCTTGACGTACATGTACATTTTTTACGTCAGATATAACATCGATTCAGGTAACACTGTATCATTGACCTATGGAAGGTACAATTACAATATGTAAAGGTGTGATATGTTATTAGGTGCGGTATAAATATCGATAAAACGCCCTAACTTTTGAAATGTATACATATGATAGAGCTAAAGATAAGTTGAAAATCATGCCCTTTTGTCACTATCAGGACATTTTATGGAGAAATATAGACAAATTTAGACTAGATGAAAATATAGTTTATAAATTTAAAATAATTCTGAATTAAGTGGCGATTAACAATGCCAACCCTTTGCAATGACAGTTATTTTCGACCTCCACTCGGCGCAAACAATCAATGAGACAATAAAACAGAAGCAAAGACGAAAACAAACCCGGCAAAATTGTTAGTCTGACAGGCTCTGTTTGATTGAGTCTGTTTAAGGTATTACCATCCTAATGCATTACCTCCGCTTTGAAGAGTATTCAAATTGGCTAGAACTACTGTTAACTACATTGAAAATGAGGGCCGTGGGTTCAATCCCCAGATGGGTCAACTTTTTGTTTCTTTCTTTTTCTTTTTAACATTATTTATGTATCTCTCATGTCCCATTTGGAAAGAAAAAAGTGTTTAATTTTGATTTTTTAATTTATATTATTATTATGCTAAATCTAGTAATAATTATGGTACCTGATATTTTCAAAGTGTAATAAAATCAAAACTAGACGGTAAAAGTATTTCATATTTTACAAGATCAACCAATATACTTCTTAAAAAATTTAGAGAAACTTTGAAAACAGGCACTCATTTGGGTAAATTTTAAGTGTTTTTTTTTAAATTAGGCTCCCTTAGTAGGAAAATGGTCAGACACATGGTAAAAATGGGTGGGGTAGGGTAACATTTTTATACAGATTTCATAAATTTTAAGTAGAAACCATAATTTTGCTTATGTGGATTGTTAGCTGAATGGTACTATTTGTTTCTTACCAAACATTAATGAGAAAAATTTTTTTCATTAGAATGTTATTGCAGATTATTTAAAGATTCCTTATTTCTAAAAAAGGGCCCTCGTGACATCCTAGCTTGAGTTTAGAAAAGTGGCCATAACTTGATTTCCGTACGGTAAACTTTGTTTAAATTTTGCATACAGGTGTACTTTAAGGTATATATCTGACCTATGATGTCAATTTTTTAGTTCCTTATAGTGCCCATTATGGTGGTTATACCTTAAGGACATGTATCGTAAGGTTGCTGTAAACGCCCACTGAAATGATATAATAATCAGTATAGTTGTACATCGGTCACCTGATATACCTTTAGACATTATTATTTCAACTATAGCATTAATGTCACATAAACATGTAATGCAGAGGTATATGATCATTAATAAATGTTTTGACTTCTCCCATTGTAAAAGCTATCGTTTTTGAAACTTCACATTGTAAGAGTGAACTTTGTGTTTATTCAACAGGGGGAAATTACATTTTAGAAAATATATTTAAAGGAGAGCCTAGTAGTTAATTTGAGATTTGAGTTTATTTGTACTGTTGTGTGAATGAATTTATTTCTGTATAGAATGTTAGATATACAGTTATGATATTCAATATTTATGAACTTTTTATTCATGTACAATGTACAAGTGTTACTATAATAATACTCGCAAAGCGTTTTTGAAATGTTGACATTGTTTTATACAAATGGGTGTAATAAAACAACGTGTTTGACAAGAAATGTTAAAAGACCCGCAACTCTACGGTTATAATGTTCTATGTAATTTGACAGTTAAGAAATAAACAAATAACTTATAATTAAGGAAAATATGGACAGTAGTATCGATATTGTTTTTTCTTCCGAGCACTGTTTTCAAGAAAACTTTTAATTATTGAAAAAGGACAGAGGAAGCCCAATGCTTCTTTATGATACAAATGCTGGCCTTTGTCAAGGATTCAATAAAGTAGAAAGTAATTATTTTAAATCATCGTAAATATATCGTGGGAAAGATTCACATGAATGCTAACGGAATACGCTTTTATAACAATTAATCGATACATCATTGGAAATCAACTTTACTCCTTTTATCTCTAGGTGATCACTGCTCAATATAGGTGAAACTGTCGTTTTATATCAACTGTTCCATGTGCCGTTTTTATTGATCAAAAGTATAAAGAAGAACATTCGCACTAGCAGATATATTTTTTTGAGATGACTTAAGTAAAACAGATTAAATTGAATATAACCGAAGTTCATATATAATACGATTATATGCACAGCTATCTTTTAATAAGACTGAGGTTTTACAAAAGTATTATAAGATATTGAACGAGCACATTAACCACATTAACCGGTTGGGTTTCAAGATTAAGGTCGAAGTTAAAGTGGCACTTGTGTTTTTCTTGTTTAAAAATGACAATATAAGTATGCTTAAAGTAATAACAATATTTCAAATGAACGCGTATATGAGGGCGAATTTATTTGCTCCAACAGCTTTATACTTCTATGGAAAAGAATGAGAGTTAACACAGGGATGGGAAATTTCATGTAATATTTGTGACAAACAATTAACTAGTATTAGGAATATTCTAACAATTGACAGGTGAAAGAGACACGATAGGTCAATTACGTCATAGATAGACATGAAGTCGTGAACATTTTGTCGCATAGTTTCAATTTCCTTTGATTATTTATAGTGAGAATCTATCCGGCTTGCTTACAGAACGACAGTTGTTTTGCTCAGGTGCGTTGGTAGCTGAAATGATGCACGCTCTTCCTCCGTCAGTTTAGCTGGGAAGTCGCCAGATGACCTCTACTGTGTTTGTAAAACGTAGAACCCAACCAAAAGGAAACAGTAATTAATAGTATAAAAAGTTACTAAGTTGTATGTCTAGACTGGTTTTCAATTTTTAAATAATTGTAACAAAACTTACTGATTAATAGAGAACTAAGGCCTAATTTTACTGCAAGGCAAATGTCTGAGAGGCTCGCAAGAACACGTTTGTCGGTTTTTTTCTTCTGTTTAATGTTTGTTCAATTAATTTGCATTCTGTTACAATATCAGATAATAAATAAATAAATAATGTGTTTATCTTGACTATGAACCGTAAGATTCGCTACTTTTTAATTCTTTTTCAGCTTAGCGTCAGAAGAATTTTGCACGTACACAATAATAAATTGTAAAGCATGGGAGGCGTTCATTAATGTGATAAATTTGGAAATACACACCAAAATGCACCAATCTCTGGCAAGTGAATGAAACACAAAGAAATATTAGAAAACGGTCTGAAAAGTCACTGTTGCGATGACATGTTCAACGTTATGAGACACCATATTTTCTTGCATGCATAAGATGTAATTTGTTTCCTTCTTGTTATTAGATGTCAATGCCGTTGCAGAAATTCCGTGTCAGCGAGTAAATGATGATATCCAAATTGCTTTGCGGTTCAAGCAAATGGTAATGCTGACAAAAATGATAAAAATTTGACAATAAAGTTTCATTAACTTCTTTTTAGTAATTTTTTTACAGTACGAAATGGTGAAAGATTTTAGGCTTATAATACTTTACAACATGACGAAAGCATTTGAATTTTTCATCATTGCAATATCCTCGAGCAATATGACGTTTATATTATTTGTGATTTATTACTTTTTTTTCTAAAAAGACTTTTCTTAAAGTACAATAAACATGCACACGCAAAACTTTTATCAGCCTAAAAGCATTTGATTACAGAGACTGAATACAATGCATGCAGTTAGGAGCGAGTATCCGCACTTTCATGCGTTTTGATTTTAACAATACGAAGATATTGATTAATTTTGCGAGATTGCTTCGAACACTTTTAATTGCAGACACACTGCAATTTTCATGTAAATCTATAGTGGTTAAAGCTTTTGGGGAATATTTCTATATCAAGATTTGTATACAAAATTTTGTAGTATATAAAAGTCTATTAGTAAATATTATATCCCGAGAGTCTAGGTTCTTTATGAAAACTGTGTTTTGAAAAAGTGTTTTTATATAATTTTCATTAGTTGCGCTTTACATTCTCCAGTGTAACATTAAATCATTAATCTAAAAAAGTTGCTGTTAAAATAATGCATCACCTTTAGAATCCAAATCACAAGTAACTCGGCGATGCTGAATAAATGTCATTTATTCTTCAGAAAATGATAGTTTTGTTTTGAAACGGCAAACAAAACATGACTGTTTAACATCACACGTAGAAAAATAGTGGCAAAGGTATCAAATTATAAACAAAGTGGTATTTTGTCTTTCATACAAAATACCTAGTCACTTACAAAAGCAGTACTTACTGTTTTTAAAGCAAAATATGGCTTAGCTATATTGCCAATGTATATTATTTTAGAGTCTGTAACAAAACACTATTTTTTTTGCTAATGAGGTTGAAAATTGATATACATGTATATGTCATCAAAATTTAATTGATTTTATAAACCGTGTAGATAATGTTT